GCACACGGTCAGATCACAGGAGCTGGAATTTTACCACCAGAGAATTACTCTCGGGCAACCAGACTGCCTCTCTGACTGCACCTGAACGCTGCCACTAACTGCCTCCGCCGCCAGATCAGAGCTTGAAGAGGGATTTGACAGCCGAAGCCAACCTCTACAGCGCTCCAATCAACCCCGCCGCCGAGGAAAGACTGGCCTCTGATACCAATTGTCAGGACCCGAGCCCCGATCTACTGAATTTTAACTAGAACTAGCGAATTTCAGACAAGAATTTGGGGAATTTGAGCTAGGATTTTCATTGCATTAGTAAGGGAAAGTAGATAGCACGCCACCTGCGGCTAGGGTTTACACCCAATAATTCTTGTACATGCCTCGAATGGAAGAGAAGGCTGGCTTTTATAGCCATTGCAGAACTAGAAAGCAAAGCGCACATGGCGTTGTCGTGCGATGAATAGCTTTTCCCGCGTCATCTCAGCCGTTGGATGGACGATCGACGAAGGAGAGCGCTCCATTCCAGCGAACCGTTATCCTTACTTGGTGGCCCTACGATGAGCGATGAACGGCTGTAGAAGTACCAGGCACGCTGAAACAGGGGATTTTCAGAATTGGGCTTGACACGGTTGCGGGCGGTTCTTCTTCTTCTTGGTCCTTCCATGCGTTTCTGGACAGAGCTCCGCGGTAATCGGACACATACGAACACCACGTCACCACCCATGATTCTTTCTCTCTCTCTCTCATCGTGCTCAAATTATTCGTTCCCGCTTAGGCGTAGGGGCGAACGGACGCCAGCTGCATCGCCCGCACCGGCACCGATGGAGCTAGCTAGCTTTGCCAAAATTAGCGCGAGGGGTCAACGAGAGCCAGCCCTGGAGGGGGGCCATTCCCCCACCCCCACCCGCCGGTTGAGCAGAGGGAGGCAGCGAGCGAGGGAGGGAGCCACGGCGCGGGGGTGATCGTGGGGTGGGGGAGCCTGATGGGGTCGTGGCGCAAGGCCTACGGCGCCCTCAAGGACTCCACCAGGGTCGGCCTCGCCAAGGTCCACAGCGACTTCAAGGTCAGCCACTGCCACCAACGCATTACGCATGCATGCATGGGCGATTCATTGTGCGGTCAATTTCTCCATTCTCAATCAATCGCCAGCGAACGCAACGCAAAATTACGATCTAGCTTTGCTTGGGGGTTGGGTGGGTTTGACAGGATTTGGATATTGCCATTGTCAAGGCGACCAACCACGTGGAATGCCCTCCCAAGGAGCGCCACGTCAGAAGTGAGCAACCTATCCGCTCTTTCATGGCCTAGCAAATTATAGGGACGATTTCTCTTCTCTTTTTTTTCGTTTCTTCTTTTGCATGGCTCGTCAGATTCATCTCGTAAGCTTGTGATTTCGTCGTCTCGCATTGTTGCAGAAATATTCTTGGCAACCTCGGTGACCCGCCCTCGCGCCGATGTCGCCTACTGCATATACGCCTTGTCGAGAAGGCTGTCCAAGACAAAGAATTGGACCGTGGGTGTCCTTCCTCCTTGCCTCCTACTCCATGGGTTCCATAAACACTCTTATATTATGGGACACAGGGAGTATCAATTTTCTCATCCTCCACTCATGTTCTAGGTTAGAAAACCATGTTTCTACCCTTTTCAGCACATTAACTACTGCATTGTTCATGCCATCTTATTGTAGGTTGCCTTAAAGACGTTGATAGTGATACACAGGCTTATGCGAGAAGGCGATCCTACTTTCAAGGAGGAGTTCCTGGCCCACTCCCACAAAAGAAACCTTTTGCACATGGCGCGTTTCAAGGATGACTCGAGCCCATTAGGTTGGTCCCTTGCAATGCCTCCTTTTCCTCCCAAGAACAGGGAAAAGGATATGCAACATCCTTGCATCAAGGAGGCAAGACACCCGAAGGCAATGGCATTTGCATTTCCCGATTCTTGATCGATAGAAATGGCGCCTCAACTGATTCACCTTGTTCTTGATCTTGGCAGCTTGGGATTGCTCCGCGTGGGTTCGCACCTACGCGCTCTTTCTGGAGGAACGGCTTGAGTGCTTTAGGAATCTAAAATACGACATCGAAACCGAGCGTCCGATGAGATCTCCCCAGCATTCTGCCATGGTAGGGACTATGTCTTTTACGCAATCATGGCGGCGAAATTTTGTTTATTTGCCTTGTGCGGATGGAAAGGTTGTGATCCTGAGAAATGCAGGCACATAGTAGAACCAGGACGCTGCCCTGCCTTGATCTTATGGAGCATTTGCCTTCATTGCAGCAGCTGCTCTTCCGGCTTATGGGCTGCCAGGTCTGATCACTGCCCTGTTACGTTACTGGCTCTGAGAACTGTTTACTAGCTGAATTCATGTTTTCACCTTTGCAGCCTGAAGGTTTAGCATGCTCAAATGACCTTATTCAATATGCATTAGCCTTGGTAAACCACAAGTCTTTTTTTTAACTACAAAGGTTGTCGTTTCCATTTTACAATATATCATTTGATCTAAGATATCTTATGGCGGTGTGTTGCATGCATGCGACAGGCTTTGGAGGAGAGCTTTAAAATATATTGCGCAATCAATGATGGAATCATCAACCTTGTTGATATGGTAAAGTGATTTTTCATGACATTGTATTTGTTAATATCTCTGATGAAGTATAACCATAGATTTCCGGATCTCATTGGTATGATCCAGTTCTTTGACATGCCGAGGTATGATGCTATCAAGGCTCTTGCAATCTATAAAAGAGCTAGCATGCAGGTCTGTCATCTTCTTTATGCCAAATTTGTCTTCTGTTATTGCTTTGAATTCTAGCTTAGAATTTTTTTGTCTAATCCGCAGGCAGAAAACCTTGCTGATTTTTACGAATTCTGCAAGGATCTTGAGCTTGCCAGGACATTCCAGTTTCCTACTCTCAGACAGGTTGGTTCCTCATCATCCTGCTGCACATCCCTTCACCTTGATCTTCAACGATGGAAGGCTAAATGACTAACTTCTTCATCTCATGAGCATGGTGTTCTAATGTGCTTTTCATCGCGTAATGTTCTACAGCCACCCCCATCATTTCTTGCAGCCATGGAGGAGTACATCAGAGAAGCGGCACGTCCCACAATCAGGAGACTGGTGAGTGCAGTCCTGTTCTACAAATAAGCGCAAGTGGCACAGCAGTTCTGTTGTAACACTCTGTTTGGTAACTCTTCCTGTTGCCAAAACAGGACAGTGAGAGGAAGCTACTAACATACAGCCAGGAAGCTCCAACAGAACCCGAAAAGCCGGCCGAAGAGGAGAAAGAAGAACCTACAAAGCTTGAACAAGAACCGGTGCCTGACCCTACGCCTGAGCCTGAACGACAACTGCTGGCAATGGAAACCACTGGAGATTTACTCGTATTTCTCTCCATAAGCTTTTTTCCAGCCCATTTCTGTTCATCTCCTCTGAATCTCACTACTGTCCTTTCCTGCTTGCATGCTTTATGCAGAACCTGGATGAGGAGGTGAATCCCTTTGTCGTGGATCTTGATGAACACAACGCGCTTGCACTCGCTATTGTGGGACCAGGTACAGAAGAAGATCGCCACATATCCCTCTCCTGTCAAACTCTCTAAAATAGCATCATAATTTACAAGCATGGTTGCCGAAACATTGATCATCTAATGTCCAATTAACTTACCTGCATTGTTGCTCCCAAATGTTCTTCGAGAAGGCATCATCAGATATTCTTTTTGGTCTCTGCATGTAGGAGATGGAAGCAAAGCATCAACTTGTCAAAACTTGTTTTCTGGCAGCACATCTGGATGGGAGCTGGCCCTCGTCGCTGCTCCAAGCCGCTTCACCAGCCAACCAATGGAGACCAAATTGGTCAGCATAATACCGTTGCTAGTTAGCTAGTTTCTGTTAGAACTCAGTAAAATTCAAACTGATCAGAATCACTTGCACATTTTCCATCTGATTAACAGGCTGGGGGCTTTGACATAATGCTACTCGACAGCCTATACGAAGACAGTGCGAGGAGGCAGCAGATCACCCGCGTGACCTACAATGGCAGCCTTGGACAAGCCAACAACCCCTTCGAAACGAACGACCTTTTCGCCATATCCAACAGCTTTGCGCCGCCTTCCAACGTCCAGCTGGCAATGGTGACCCAGCAGCAGCAATACTTCCAGGCTCAACAACATCAGCAGCAATGCTACTACCAGCCCCAGCTGCAGCAGCAGCAGCAGTATTTCCAGTCTCAGCAGCATCAGCACCAGTATTTCCAGCAGCAGCCTCAGTATTGTGTGCATCCGGCCGGAACTTACAATCCGTTTGGTGACCCTTTCACTGACCTTGTAACACTGGATGCTCCTCCAAAACAAGGCAATTTAACTTTGCTCTGAATTGCCCGGCCCTGTTTATGATCTCAGTCAATATAGATGGGTACTCCCATTCTCAGTAGAGCAACCAGTACAAATTGAATTCTTCTGTTGGGTTAAGATGATGTTACACTGCTGACCTTTGCAATATCCACATTTCAAACAAACATGACAAGTACAACTTCATTTTGTATACTAACTACATTGAATATTTCCCCAGCAGAGTAAAAATAGGTCAGAAATATAAACATGTCGGCAAAACTGAGCAAGCTAGACTATAAGGCTGCTCTCATTTCATAATATGTGTCCAAAAAGAATGGGCCGAACGTGACAAAAACCCTGTTCCTCAAGAGATGGGAGCTAGGAAACTAAAAAGGGAAAGCTAGAAATACAAGAATGAGAGGAAAAGGTAAAATGGACAGCTAACAGAAACATGCACAAGGCACAATGGATTACAATGAGGGCAGTGTCCATATACTAAATAGATATCACATCAGCCCTACCTAGGGTCCCAGAATGACAGGGCGTCGCTATTGTTGTAGCAACGACATGTCTCTGGCCCTGGATCTCTGTTAAGAAGCTAGGTATCAATTGCAAAATTTACATAAAAGAAAAAATCCTAGGGGAATCCTAGGCCAATGGCAAAGAATCGTGTAGAATTCAAGCAGATGTGTAACTGGGAAATAGCTTCAGTAGATTGTTGACAGCATCTGGGTAAAATTTTCTTGCAAAAAGGAAGCACGGTCTCTTTCTTCCGTTCAATATACATGGGGTCGATGTCACAGTTCTCTGCAATATAGATAAAGAAATATGTCAAATCATTCATGTCAATGCTACAACACGACTATTTGCATCTAGAAATTTTGCTGAATTATTTGAATGGAATTCTTCAGAATGACTGCTGATGACACGAACACAATATCTTAATGTCCATTGGATGGCGGTCTGGTAATAGGATTAGTGAGGCATAAGGGAAATGTCTTATTACCAACTGGTTGTGCTAGTCTTTTGTACTCTTGTATGACTTGTATGCATGCTGAAACTATGCAACAATAGATGGCTGCTTGCATCAACCGATGCAGAGGCCGGGGGTTTCCCCTCCTTTCGGAAAAAAATACATCCATAAATAGTAATCACATGCAAGGTATGTTTTAGTTAGATTCCTAGTACATGAATGCAACAATTCAAAACGAAAAATATCTTCAGGCATTCACAGGCAAGTACCAAGTACTAGATCACAACAATCAACTAATGATCACCAAGTCCTAGAAAAATCATATATTGTGATTGGGCGATAAGGAGGAATTGTTATGCTTACAGTCTCATCACTTGCAATGTGCACAATCTCATTGAAATACTGCAGAACATTTAAGTAGTTGAGTCAGTGTATAACATACAAATCATGTTAATTGGCAAAATTGTGTTTCCCATTTTGCAAGATAAAAGCATATACCGTTATGTTTCTTAAGAGTTCATAGGTAATATCAGCAGCTCTATAGGACCTCGGATGCCATTTCCCCTCAGACCAGTCAACATGTGTCACTGAATAATTAGAAATCCCGCCAGGATCTACTATCTGCACATTAATGTGGAAGTAAATAATAAAAGCAAATGGAGAACGGAAAGCTAGATATCGGTTCAAAAGATTTATTACTAACTTTGAACAAGGTTGGCAAATAGTGCTCATCGGCGATACAGTTCCGTCCCACTGTTGGCTGCAAAACACAAGCAAAAACATTGCTTATCTAAAACCAACTTTTAAAGAACAGTCGCAAGGTGAAACACAAAGCATAGGTTCTGAAAACAGCATGAGAACAATCATGGCACCATGTGATGTGGCTATTTGAGCCTGATTTTATAGCCTGAAATAGAAGGCACCTGTCAGCATGTGATATGGCTATTTGAGCCTGATTTTATACAGTGCCACACTCTGCTGAAATAGGAGGCACCTATCTGAAGGTCTGTGAGCATTCGTTTGAAGCACTATTCCCCATGATTCCATGTGGTTTTTTCTATGAAGCAATCGAAATAAGGTACTGTGGCAGAAGCCTTCTCCGAATTTCAGATCATTTTCAGTTATACAACTTGAGGTTTAGACCCAAACTAACTGTTATGGCGCTGCTAGAAGGAGGGCGCGAGAAGACTGGCGGGGGGCCTTTTTGCCCATGGCCGGGCAAGAGGGAAGGGATTTCCTTCTTAATTCTTGCTTGATTAGATTGATACATCTCCTCTCTTTATATAGAGAGGTTTACTTGACTCTCAAGCAAGGCTTACTTGACCCCTAAGCAAACGACCCTTATCTCTAATTAACCCTAAGACTAATGAGCCTATTACGTACTCTAGCACTACACCCCACCTGGACATGCAGCTTGTCCTCAAGCTGCAGCCTAACCAACTTATAACCATGACTCGACGCAACACAAACCTAACACCTAAAAACAAGCCTTTTACATCTCGGCTTCTTTTATTATTCTCAACCTGAAATGGACTGGGACGCTTTATTTTGGACCCCTTAACAAAAAGTGGACACCATCCGCACGTCGGACGTGCACGTGTACACCTGGATCCCATGGACACCACCTGGACCAAAGGAGTGCATGTGTATTGCCACCTGGAAGTGGTCGCAAGAGCGACCAGCAGAGGCGCCCTCGCGGCGGCCGGCGGCGGAAAGCAGTGGTGCTACGCGGTGCGCTCCTGTCGGTGACACCCTGCCTTCTCCCCGCCGAACTGCTGTTCGTCTGCACCGCACAGGAAAGAGTGGAGGGCTTGCGATGGAGACTGACGAGGAAGGGTGCGCCTCCCCACCCGCCGATGTCGCAGACTTTGAGGACGCTACCCGCGGGGAAAACAGCATGCCCGCCGTCCGTGGGGGAAACCGCATGCCCAAGATCCCCGACGCAGCGGACGAGATCGAGGTCCTTTGCGCAGCAAAGGGCAACTTGAAGGAGCGGCAGCTGCAGACCACGCATCTCCCGCACACGCCGACGCGCTAGGAGGCCGCGTGCAGCAGCCTGCAGCCTCACCGCCGCCGACACGTGGCGGGTAGCGATCCAAGACGGAAGCGGTGACAGCGACGGTGGGACTTGATCTGCTGGATGTGGACGCCCTGGGATGGCGGCGGCGCTGATGGGAACGAGGTCGTCGCACTCCCGTCGTAGGGCATCCCATACTGGGCTGCGGAGCTGACCGGCGGTGGCTGCTGCAGCTGTAGCGGTTGCTGCAGTGTCGCGCCGGGCAGCGGCAACGGCTGCTACGGCGGAGCGCCGGGCGCGGCGGAGGCCGCCAGGAGCGGCGTCTGCAGCTGCAGCCAGGGCTGGGCGGTGGTGGCGATGGATGGCAGCTGTGGCGGCCCGGCGAGCGCGGCGAAGGCCGCCTGGTGCGGCGGCTGCCACGGCAGACACGGCGGCACGGGGGCGGCGATGGGCGGCGCAGCTGGGGGCGGCCCGTAGGACCCGGCCAAGAACATGTGGATATCCTGGACCGTCTGGGTTAGGTTCCGCAGCACCCCGGACACCTCCTCCCAGGTGAGGACGGCGGGGGCGGGCGCGATGGAGGATCCCGGCGCGGGCAGGAGCGGGGCGACGGTCGTGGTGGTCACCGGAGGCGACATGGTGACCGACAGCGGAAGAGACGGGCTTGCCGGCGGTGAAGACATGATCGAACCGAAGCTAGCTGATATCAAATTGTTATGGCGCTGCTAGAAGGAGGGCGCGAGAGGGCCGTCCGGGGGCCTTTTTGCCCACGGTCAGGCAAGAGGGAAGGGATTTCCTTCTTAATTCTTGCTTGATTAGATTGATACATCTCCTCTCTTTATATAGAGAGGTTTACTTGACTCCCAAGCAAGGCTTACTTGACCCCTAAGCAAACGACCCTTATCTCTAATTAACCCTAAGACTAATGAGCCTATTACGTACTCTAACACTAACACCTTAGCATTATTATCAAATGTTATTCTAAAAAACCTACTTATGTTCTCGTAGAAAAAGAGCTAGCAGTTATCACTGTATGCATGCAACAAGCAATGACATAACTGGCATCAAAGGAGGGGAACATACCTTGCAATATAGCTTGAATTTACCGTAGTAGAGGTTGTCTGCCATAATCAGTATAGCATGCCTTCTTGTTATAGCAAACCACTACAGGAAGCACAAAATTACTCAGCAAAGCATGAAGAAATCCAAGTGATTACATATCTGCAATAGGAAGGATAAGGTGCAGTCTGTGCCTTTATATCCAAGTCACCTTGATACACAAGTTAGGATAGTATCAATCTGTTTAGTTTTTTTTTTTAAGTTTGTCAGTGCTTAACTTCTCCCTCACATTCGGCTTAAGCTTTTTCTTTCCCAATTCCTCTATATAAAGAAAGGCTGGCTATGTGATCCTGATCGAGCTATCTGTAAACTTATTAAGAGATTAGTATCCAAGCCCTAAGTTACCACTGTACCTACCGGCATGCCATTTGCGGCACTTGTGAAGGTGAAGGTTGTAACCCCTCAACTCAAAACCCACCAGGTCACCACGACTACTCTAGCACATGAGACCAACTTTCTCTGCAAGTCCAATAATACCCTCAGCTATAAAACCATTAAGTGTTACAATCTCTTACCTCTCAACTGGTCAAAACAACCCCCTCTCCCTAAAACATTATAATTTTGGTTGATGTGACACTACATGTTTCTATGACAGTGATGTGGGCATTGATACAAACGGCCCCATCATCATTTTTTCTTTACTTAGGATTCCACTCTATATAGAGTCGCCTGTTGGGATGCCAGATAAGCCAAGACAACTGATGTGGCTGCTAACATACCGAGACCCACTCATGAATCTAGCCTAGGGGAAAGGACCGAAAGGTGGACAGTTTCAGTAGTTGGAGGGTGAGAAAGGAATGGCTGGAGGTGTTTTCTGGACTTCTGGAAGAGTTGAGGGTGTAAAATGGACTTGTTCCTTTGTGATACCAGACATGTTGTGGTACATTTTATAAAACACGGTAGTAGTAGTAAAGCAAAACATGTACCTGCGCACCCTTCCTGAAGTCCCTGTGCTCTATTTCAGGAAACATTTCTATAGAATACCTTCCACTTCCATGAGGACCAGGATCCAGGAAACTGATAGTATGGACAAACAATCAATAGAAGGCTAAAGACATAGACATATTTTACTCTGCCATACAAAGTGGGCAGCAAACATATCTCCTTGCTATATTCTTTCAAAAAGGAAGTTACAGGTAATGTATTCTAAACTATCCTTTCGATGACGTATGTGCTGTGTGCATTCCTTTGACATAAGAAATACAAGTGAAAAGTTATAGTGAGATAAAACATGCACAGTGGAGCATCTGCCATATTCCCAACCGTTTCCATGTAAATAGATGATAAGCAAAATTAGACGAAAGGAGTATAGGTATTGTCATCGATACATGAGTTGATATCTTCTAAATAGCAATATGTGCTCTTGACGCTACCCTACATTTCTGTCTTTTGTGTTTTCTCTCTGCTTACAGGTATCCAAATATTAGTTAAATTGCTCTTACCTGTCAATGAAGCTAACATTTGTTCCCATCAGATAATTATAGATGTAATCAAATGTATGTAGTGGAATACAGCTGCCATGCAAAGAAAAGGATATTAACATACTGGAAGAAAACTGACTAAGGAACCCTTTTGCAAGAATTATTGAAAACCTGTCAGAAAGCAAGACGAAAAATTGATTATCAATATCTAGCAATGCATTTCCTAACAGCCTTTTCTCTGCATCAACCATTGAAACCCTGCCCCATACTACCTGCATTATAAAGAAATTACAATGTTTAGTTTTATAAAGAAAAACATGTAGCTTAAACTAATAACATGATGTGCTGTATACAGAAAAATGACAGGAATCACAAATATCTGTAAAATTCTAGAAGTTGGGAGTAGTTCTTTTGCTGCAAAGCAGTATAATGGTCTTCTTAATTAAGATAACCAACCCCGTATAAAACACAGGAAGTTGCAGCCAGACAAAAAAGCTCATTTCACATGCCTGCCTACAAAAGACAGCAAGTTACAGCCAGGCAAAAAGCTCATCTCGCATGCATGACTAATCCAGTTGCATTCAGATATTCCTATGTCAACTGTAATGAGTTCCACCAATATGTCAACTGTAATGAGTTCCACCGGTATATTTTTTTCTATGCATGTTGGAATTTTCTATCTCAATGCATTCTATCATCCAATCTTCCCCATAATATCACAAAACATCTGTTATATTTTGGTAGACTAGCTGAATATTTGTGCTTTGCTACGAAAAATATATACTGATCATGTTAAACCAATGTCAATGAGCCTGCCTTACATCTCAGTTGCATTCTTGTGCTCATCTGAGTTCTGCCAAAACCAGTATCATGCATGGCCTACAGCCTCACACATTCACACCCACACCTAGTCATGCTTCTTTATGACCCTTGTAGCTCAATTTTATTTTTCTAGGAAGTGGTTAAATTTGTTTATTAAACGAGCTTAGCAATGTTTCATTGAGTTGGTTAGTTTTTCTTTTTTGTTAAAAGATTTTTTAGCAAGGTGAAAAAAGGGAGAGAAGGAAGGCGTGGATGAACCACCACCATCTTTCATTTACAGAAAAGATTTTCTAATCTTGCGGAAATTCCATAAGGCACATGAGACAAAGTCTCAATAGTAGAAACAAATTCCATAAGGCATACAAGACAAAGTCTCAATAGTAGAAACATCATTAATCTTTTATTATATAGAGACATAGTATGGTTTATGGTCAGATTATGAGACTTGGGCATCCTGTAATATGAGCAACATATAGTTATCTCGGCACCCATTTTTGTATGAGCAATCAAGTTAAATTCCATCATTGTGGTTTAAATAATCATTCAATAATGATATATAGACAATCAGTCGCCATTGTACAGTACTCCCTTTATCCATGTACTACTACCCAAATGCAGCCTTATACCCTTGTACATATTTCTAACTGCGGTATGATCCATATTTGTTACTGTTTTGCTAGTTTTGCATATCAATTAAGAATGTAGCGAAAACACAAACGATGACAAGATTTTCTTTCTCAACAACGTGATAAAGTGTTAAATTACAATGATCTTTCTTACTTATTTGAATTCCATCGCCTGATTAAACGTGTGGATTAAGATAAACGGAGAAAAGAAGCATACTAAGTGGGGGTGGAACTTCGTACCTTTTCACTGCGAATTTCTCGGCCCACAAACAAAGGACTAGAATGCACAGGCTTTTCACGCGATGCATGGATATAGATGGAATATCGTCCCTCATGGCCCTGTATACAGAAGTTCAGGCACACCATTTCTCATTTTAGATTAAGAAAAGTGTTTCTACATGCAGACATAATATAAACTCTATATATTCGTCTAAAAGGAATATCAGCACAGAACCTGCAAAAATCTCTCCCACAATTTCTCGAAGGGCAATGAACCAGGTGTCAAGAACATAAATGCAATCTTTGGCTTCTTGGACACGGGCATAGGCATTGCAAGCAAATCTCTGATGACCACAGACGAAAAAACCTCTTGATCGGTCAGCTCCCGCCGGGTCACAGCAGGGAGCCAATCCTTAAAGGGAGTACAAACACTTGAAGCAAAGAAGTAACAGGTCGAGTAGCGCCGTGGAGGATAGACATAAGCCCCGATCAACGAAACACAAACAATTGACAGTAGCACAATTATCCACATGGGCTTCTTGGCAGTGCGGTGGCGCGGATGTGGCATGGCTGTCATGTCCTTGCTGCCCCGCTGCCACACCCACGATACTTTCATCTCCTTGCCATTGCAGAATCAATAGTAATATATCCGGATTATACCCTCCGCATATACTTCAGAACACCAAAACTACATGCCACGTACCACACAGGGTGAGAACAAAATTATCCCCCCAATGCTGCCACCTTTCTGCAATGCAAGGTTACACGAGATTAATCCATGAACCACATTCATCTACAAGAAACAAAGCAATGGCGATCACTCAAGAGATGTGTCATGTACGAAGGGAATACGGCAAGATGCCACGCAACAACGAAATCGTCCTGAACCTTCTTATATGTCATTCTATGAGATCTACTGTTTTTTCTTATCTTTGTCACTTGTTTCGGTTGTGACAACCAAGTTTGACATGTAGGTCCCAAATAAACATTTCGAGTTAATGACATGTCTAGACGATTAGAACAACAAAAGCATGAGGAGGCGATCTCCCTGTCCAAATCAAATCACAGGGCATGGTCAAAATGGGAGCTGCTTCCAAAAGTCAACTCGCGGTCAAATCCCATGATCCCCACCGAACGCATTCCCAATTCAAACCCGATAGCCGCCTTGACAAAACGCGCAATCCCGCGCCAAATCACGCGCGCCACGCCCAAATCACCTCACGAAGCCCACCCGCAAACCGGAGCCCCGGCGCCCCAAACAGCACGAGCACCAGGGCCGGAACGCAGCAGCAGGCCGCGGCCGTCTCCGGGGCGTCCCGCTCCCCAATGCTAGGAGGCCGAGCAGGAGCGCCGGGCCGTGGTCGAGAAGGTGGGAGGAGGAGGACTTACACGCAAGGTGGAGCGGGAGGAGGGAGCGTCGTGCCCAGGACCAGGAGGCCGTGGCGCGTCTCGTCGCGGGGCAGGATCCGGGGCCCGGCGGCGGCGAGATCGGAGCTAGGGCTGGCGCAAGGCGGTGGGCGGTGGCGGAGGTGGTGGGAGGGAGGGGAGACGAGGTGGTGGTGGTGGTGGAAGTGGGCGAGGAAGGGGAGGACGGATTTAAAACAGAAATGGATTAATTAATATGGCTCCCTCCCGGCTGTTTATTCTCTTCGGGTGTTACCCTTTTCCGCCACCCAGTTAAAGTGTGGAAACGGGAGGAAGATAAAGTGGCCTTATATATTGATTATACTCCCTCCTCCCAAAATAAATATTTTAATTTTAGTATACAACTTTATACTACTCCCCCGTTTAGGTGTGTAAGTCATCTTACGAAACCAAATAATCTCAAAACACTTAGACACGGTGCATTAACTTCTACCTCGTTTCTTGTTTCTTGACATATCAACCAATAAGGCTGGTCATAGTGGGGAGTAACTTAGAGTAGTAACATGCATACGTTACTACTCTATGTTACTACCCTTATAGTGGGAAGTGTCATATGTGTAGTAACATACACATGTTCATTTATTGTCTTGTAGACTCATTTTGCATTGGAAAGCGCTATGTGATGGTAACATATTAGGTTACTCTATTTGCCTCTCTCCTCATTAACTACTTGTCACATCAACATTTTTGCTTATGTGGCATAGATGCCACACCTATGACATAGATGTGGTAGTAACATAGATGCCACATAAGCAAAATTGGTGATGTGACAAGTAGTTAATGAGGAGAGAGGCAAATAGAGTAATATAATATGTTACCATCACATAGCGGTTTCCAATGCATAATGAGTCTACAAAGTAATAAATGAAGGCAACTATGTTACCACACCTATGACACTACCCACTATGAAGGTAGTAACATAGACTAGTAACATATGTATGTTACTAGTCTAAGTTACTCTCCACTATGACCAGCCTAAGAGATGTGGGTGTGCATGCTTTTAATGACTTGAGACTACTAAACACGACATGCAATGATTAGTTCATTGCATGCAATGCTATTAATTAGCAAATAAACATTAAGTTCTCTCGTTTTCCCCTCCTACTTGGTCATGGTGCACAACCTAGGATGACTTATTCACCTAGACGGAGGGAGTAACTCCTTTCCTGTTTATAAGGCTTATCTCAAAACTTTCGTTTTTCCGTTTTATAAGTCTCATTTCTATTGCTTCACATCACACACTCAGATATCAAGGTGCATTAAATTACTGCATGCAAGGATTAAAAGAAAACTCACCAATGCATGTAGAAATTCTTAGTTATTTATTGGTCATGTATGCATGCATTGCCATTAATAATTGTTTCATGAAAATGAGTGTATTAATTGAGTACTTTTGTAAACTATCAAAATTATTTCAATACTTCCTCTCTCTCAGTTTACAGGGCGTGCGCGTACCCTTAGGTCGTCAATTTGACCAACATAATACAAGTCATATATTACAAAAAAAATATACGTGCAGGACTTGTAAACTGAAACGGAGGGAGTACTCATAATCTACCTTGGTTGGTGAGATTTTTTAGTTGAGCCCTGCAAATCGGAAAGGAGGGAGTAATAAAGTTAGTACAAAGTTAAGACACTTATGTTGGGACTGGGCGAGTATATAAGAACGTCCATTGTTTCCTAAAAATTGGCAGCGTAAAATCTTACCTGCGTCCTTGGTTCAATTCAAAATAAATACTCCCTTCCATTTTCAAATAGGCGGCGTATAAATTGAGCCAAAAGTCAATACTTTCTAAATATGATATACCAAATCGATATTAGTGTATCCAGCATTATATATATTTTCATAATGTATTTCTTCAAAATTGTAGTTGTTGATATGTCTATATATTTGGTCGAACTTATAATTTATTAACTTTTTAACTAAATTTATATGCCTACTTTTGGGATGGAGAGGGTAGGATTAGACTAGAAATACTCAAAATACTTGTAGGAGAAATGGATGTATCTATACGTGTTTTAGTTCTAGATAAATCCATTTTTCGACAAGTATTTAATTTTGAAATAAAAGGTAGATCATTCTACCTTATGCATTTCAAAACAGGCCACGGCCTGATGACCGAAGAGGTCAATTACATGAAACTTATGTTACGCACCATGGTGCAGAGGCCATAAGTTGCCTTGGAAGAGAAGAGAAAGACAGTGGGGGATAGGGGGTGTTTAGAAGATATTACATGGCATCTGTTTAGTAGCTATGCTAGGAACTAATTTGATGCACCCATAAATCTATAGACTCCTTGTCCCTTGTGCGCATAGCCCTATTCATCCAAAGTGATAAGAGTTGGACAGCATATTGTCTGGTGTAAGATGGTGACCAACGGTTGAGGTGAAAAACCATGTCATTCCTAGCGTGCCATAGCGTGACAGTACATGCAGCAAAAAGAACGTGCACTTTCCTGGCAGCAGGCCAGCAGAAATGTAGTTGCTGCACAAACTCCATAATGCCCGGGGAACAGGAGGCATGACTGGCCACATTCAACTTGCTCCAAACTGCATCAGCCGGAGCACAGGCGTAGAATTATGTGACTGATGGATTCAGTGGCCAGGCAGATATCGCAATCAGGATGAGAGGCAACAGAAAACCATCCCTTCTTTGTCATATTGTCCCGCGTGTTGAGCCGCCCCCAAAAAGCGAGCCATAGAAAGATCCGGTCTTTGAGAGGGATGATAGGATCCCAGATCCATTGTGCGGACGTACACGACATACCTTTGAAATTCAGCAACCCATAGATATACGTTGTAGTGACCTCTCGGTGGCATATGGCGGTTCGGCGAAGGTCCGGGTGCACCGTAGCAGGCAGCACATCCAGCAGAAGAGAGTTGAGACAATGCAGCTCCTGAACCGTAGTTGTTGAGAGGTTAGGATGCAAATGAACATCCCAGCCGCCATTGGCATGTTGGAAATATGCCCTAGAGGCAATAATAAATTAGTTATTATTATTATATTTTTTTGTTCATGATAATCGTTTATTATCCATGCTATAATTGTATTGATAGAAAACTCAGATACATGTGTGGGTACATAGACAACACCAAGTCCCTAGTAAGCCTCTAGTTGACTAGCTCGTTGATCAATAGATGGTTACGGTTTCCTGACCATGGACATTGGATGTCGTTGATAACGGGATCACATCATTAGGAGAATGATGTGATGGACGAGACCCAATCCTAAGCCTAGCACAAAGATCATGTAGTTCGTATGCTAAAGCTTTTCTAATGTCAAGTATCATTTCCTTAGACCATGAGATTGTGCAACTCCCGGATACCGTAGGAATGCTTTGGGTGTACCAAACGTCACAACGTAACTGGGTGGCTATAAAGGTGCACTACGGGTATCTCTGAAAGTGTCTGTTGGGTTGGCACGAATCGAGACTGGGATTTGTCACTTCGTGTAACAGAGAGGTATCTCTGGGCCCACTCGGTAGGACATCATCATAATGTGCACAGTGTGACCAAGGGGTTGATCACGGGATGATGTGTTACGGAACGAGTAAAGAGACTTGCCGGTAACGAGATTGAACAAGGTATCGGGATACCGACGATCGAATCTCGGGCAAGTACTATACCGCTAGACAAAGGGAATTGTATACGGGATTGCTTGAATCCTTGACATCGTGGTTCATCCGATGAGATCATCGTGGAACATGTGGGAGCCAACATGGGTATCCAGATCCCGCTGTTGGTTATTGGCTAGAGAGCTATCTCGGTCATGTCTGCATGATTCGCGAACCCGTAGGGTCTACACACTTAAGGTTCGGTGACGCTAGAGTTGTTATGGGAATTAGTGTGCAATTACCGAATGTTGTTCGGAGTCCCGGATGAGATCCCGGACGTCATGAGGAGTTCCAGAATGGTCCGGAGGTAAAGATTTATATATGTGAAGTCCTATTTTGGCCACCAGAAAATGTTCGGGATTTTTCGGTATTGTACCGGGAAGGTTCTAGAAGGTTCCGGAGTGGGGCCCACCTGCATGGGGGGACCCACATGAACGTGGGTAGTGGGGGCAAGGCCCCACATCCCTGGTCAAGGCGCACCAAGATCCCCCCTTAGAAGGAATAAGATCATATCCCGAAGGGATAAGATCAAGATCCCTAAAAAGGAGGGATAACAATCGGTGGGGAAGGAAATGAT